CTGCTGCTGCTGAGGACCCGTTCGTCTTCAAGAAGTCCCGCGTGCTCACTTGCGCTTTCTCACCAAGCGCGACCACCTCACTCTTGAACGCAGGAGACGAAGCATCAAGTGAAAATCCATGAGGTAAGAAAAGCATCATGTAGCCTGCGGTGTGTCTAAGCTCGTACAGCGTCGTTTTCTTCACAGAGCGCGAGGCATAAACGCGGGGCTCGGCCGTAAACCATTCGTACCAGACTGCTGCAAGAGACTGCGAGCCCTTCTTCTTCGGACGAACAGTTCGGATGGCAATTTGTTGGTCAGGCTGTGATACACAACCCGCAACAGTTTTGGCTGGAGCCGACGGTGAGTGCAATTTCGCCTCTACAGCTAACAGTCGTTCCTCTAGGCGCTGATTTTGCAGGATTAAAACGCTGATCTGCTCGGACTGGTGCTTCATGAGGCTTAACACCTCAGCAGAGTGAGAGTCGCTAACGCTGGGCTTGGTTATCGCTGATGGTGGCATGAAAGCACGGCGGATTGTGCTGCTCCATGCAAGTACTTCCGCTTCCCCGATGGCTCGTGCTGACATGGCCGCCCGAATGCGGGCAACCAGTGCTCCTTCGCGTGAGAGCAGCAGCATGTCGGGGTAGTGCATGATGAGGGTGGCTGACAAGACCTCTGCTACGTCTTTGTTTAGGTTCATGCCAGGCTCTGCAAAGCCCAGGGAGCTCGTGAAAAGTAGACCATGCAGTGCTTGGGCGCGGAACAGCACAGACGGCTCCAAGATACGCAACGAAGGAAGACGTGCGCCTTCTTTTGGTTTCCATCCGCTCAGGACACGCGCAACTTGCTGATCTGCCTGCGTTGTACCCAACATGTACCCAAACGCCTTATTGACGCGGTCAAGCTGCCAACCGCCCCGCTCTATAATCCAGTTTTCTGCAAGAGTTCCATCGTTGGCGTGCATGACAGCTCCTCGACCAAAAGAGTGGGAGGTAAGTCCTTGTGTGAGTTTGACCTGCTTCTGATCTGCAATGTTCTTGACTCGAACCAGTAATCGGTTCACGTACGCTTGTGCACCAGGAACCGATCTGGTAGCTGGCGACTGTTGCAGGTCTGGCAAGGATGCGGGGCTGTCGTCTGCCTCGAGACGCTCTACGAGACTGAGGTCTTCTACATCGCCAGCATTAGCTCCGATATGCCTTGTACTGGTAAACTGAGGAAATAGACGCTTGCTTGGCGCATTCTGTATGGTTAGAGCAGCAGCTAAAACGAATAGTGGACAAGTTAAAAAAACTTGTCGGGTCCTTGAACAAGGATACACCTTGTAGCAAAGCTGTTTTAATCCGCTTAAAGCCTAGGAAGAGTACGCCACCTACATATTGCAAGGTTCCAGTTAGCGTAATTGTCAATATATAAAGAAATAAAATAGTCAATGATCTTACCAGGTAAAATCGAGAGCTGGTTTTTTTCAAGTTGCTCTGCGTCCGAGCTACGTCCGTATAAATACCACAGCATCACAACCAGAGCTGCATCCGGATAGATACTCTCAGCAGAATCAGAAGTATAAAGTAGGCGAGCGATATTTTCTAGATCTTGCTTGGAACACGGTGGAGCTTTCTTTTCAAAAGCCCCATCCTCGCGATTGGTACAGTACTTACCAAGCCCAGACAGGATCTTCTGCAGCTGGGGCTTTACTGTCCCCCCTTGCTGTGGGTATTTATCTATCAACCAGTTCTTTACGTTTCCGAAATAGGCTAGACATGTATTGGTAGATCGAGTTTTGTCTGTCGATCTAGCTAGAGAATACGCATATTTATCTAGCACAATTCGAAGTACCCTACCGGTCTTGTCAGCGTCGATAAGCTGTTGAACATGCTCTAGTGTGATGTTTTCTGAAGAAAGAAACGTGCTGAACGAGCTGATCGCCGTCACCCGGGCCTTCTTACTGTTAGGTGGCGCTAGCGACGCGATAGACATGGTCACAGCTCTGCAAAATGATGTCTTTTAGGAAACAGCTGCCAACCGCCACCTCGGGTTGGAAACTTCCTGATATTTTTAGTATATGCTACTATATGGATATTTGTAAAGAGTACAACATATTTTGAAAAAATTCCAACTGAATATGGTCGGATTGGTAGGAATTGGTGGTTACTTTTTAAGACTTCGTCATTGGATAAAATCACATTAATCTTGCAATCTAATTGGTGAATTGGCTGAGTACAGTTCTTCATGGACGATGCATGGTTGGAATCTTGCGAATATTATACCATACCTCAATCCATGGCCAGCACCGAGGTAGGAAAAACAAACACATTTAAATTTAGATATTAGCTAACTAACACTGTTAACGCGCAATTTAGATCTATCGTTTCTTGATAAAGCAAAACTCAACATGTACAGAGAGCTAGAAGAAATGGTACACTCTCGTGGCAGTATCTTGTTTTTTTTTTCTGCCTCCTTACTCGCCCCAGCTGAACCCTATCGAAGTTGGCTTCTCCTTGCTCAAGCATTGGCTAATCCGACACGCGCCGTTGGCCTTTCGGTAAGACCCGTCGAGAACACTGACTGTGCCCCTTGCATTAAAAAGAGCGAAGAAGTCGGCATTAACCTTTATAAGCATTGTGATTATGGCCTCCAGGATCTAAACAGAAACTGTTTTTTTATAAGTAAGTTAATAAATTGGACTTTCTTACTATATTTACTCCATGCTTGAATCACTCATGTGGTCGGTAGCTTCTACATTGAATAGATGGCAACTATTACGTACGGGGGAGGGGGGGGATGGCGGCTGCAGATCGTAGTCGGGTAGGCCGAACCCTTCACGTATGTCAGATACATTCACTTCTAGGGGTACCACTACGCCACTAATACGGAAGCGAATCGCCCTCGAGTTTCAGCTAGCCTGGGCGGTGCTGTCAGTATCACGCTGCAAAGGGTCAATACGTGGTAGCGGTAGGATTAGTAGGCATAACCAGGAGTGTTTGCTCTGGCTGCCTTGCATGCGTCACAGCCCAGTAATCTCACAATGCATCACCAAGTTGTTCGTTCACTGGCAGCGCGCTAAGATGATCAATAATTTGAAAAGCAGCAGCTGCGACCCGTCCTTCCGTTGCTTGGCGTATCGTCGTGGACGATCCAACTTTACTGACATAAATGCACAACTCAAGTTTAAAAGCCGCTTGTCTGCAACGAGTATAAAGGGAGTAAAAATAACAACCCTTCTTCATCATTAACTTAGGTTATTAATCTTGAGCGAATCCTGTTTTGCGTTTTGCAGCGAGACTCCACACAGACGATAGCTGCACTAGCAGCTCCTTGTCGGACTCGGCCAACGCAACAAACTTCGCTTGAGATGCACTAATAGTAGGCTTTAGCAGAATTGGACCATCCTCCGCCCATTCGATCTTCTTCAGTTTATCGACCAGTCTACAGTACGTACTCGAGCTTGGAGCCCGGGGTAGCCATCATTGATCAAGAGCTTCATCGCATGAGGCGGACCATAGCTGGTTCTTGCTTTTATTAAATGGCTCGCCCATCTTCAACGTGAGGATGGCATCCATTGTCATGGGTAGTGGCAAGGCCATAATTCCTAGGCAGAGGTGGAAACAGCATCAGTTAGATAATCTGCACGCACAGTCTGCTCAAGTTGTAGTACGCACCAGTGACGACACACGAAGCAGCTGTGCAAGTGTACAATTTTTCTACATTCACAATAATAGCATAAAGTTGTTATTCGATGAAGTCATCCCATGCTTATCTAAACTAATAACTAGTCTACACTTCTCCGCCTAAAGTTTGTATTACCGTACAAAGCGATACATACAACCTTCTAAACAAAAATCACAAAAAATAACTCATTAGTGCACAGTGTACGATTGGTCAGCGGACGGCCTTCGCTAGGCTGGTGCTCTGAGAGATTAATTCTTAGTCAGGAAGCAGAATACTGGGCTGTGTAGAACTGGAGATGGACCCGAGGACGAGACTACACAGCAGAGGGCCGTCTGAGTATGGGTGGTGGCGGCGTTCAGGCTGCAGCGGTTGCTGTACAAACACCCAAGCAGCAGTAAGCACTGCGGGTGCGGGCCTTGACACTGACGCACACTTGCTATCCGTTTGTCTTACTGTGGTGCGCTCTGACGCTTTCTTCACAAACAGTTGGTGCTGTTCGAGTCCCGCCCCTTGAACGTATTTACGGCTCTCAACGAAAACTGAGAAAAGGATGTGAGAGGAACTGACCAGTTACCGCAGAAATTTCACCATTGACTAACGTTATTTACTCACTCAAGTTTTTTTCATGTCAATAGAGTATGAGTGCTTTGTTTTTTGTAAATAAAAGCGGTGTCAGCTCTCAACGTCGCAATTCTTATCTCTCTCATGTAGCTAAAACTGACGTCGCTTCTATTAAAAAAACCAAGCACTCATGAAATACTATAGACATGTTTTTTAATCATCTAAAACATATTACTAAAAAGAGTTAGTAGCACTTTTCCGCATTAAGCATCGACGGATAATTTAGGGCCTCACGGAATAATAATATATCACAGCTACTAATTACTACTGTAGAAAAAAAACTACGTAGAATTAAAAATATTACTACCAGCCCAAATCTCTTTATAGTACCAAAGATGTTTGGTGATTTTGTTTAGTACTGTTGTACTACTATCCAACGAACGGTCTCGGTACATGAAACTGGTACGGTAGTATGACGACTGCTTCATACTTACCCTACGTCGAAGCAAAACTGATCTACATCACGTCTCCCAATTTGGAGAATCAATTCGACATCATAACATATAAACGGCGCGTGGTACCGCACAAGCGACGCCAGCGAGTATTTATCGGTTTAAATGATAGGCACTGTCGTCGGCGTCTACTCTTCCTGTAGTCTTCTGCCTGTCCATCGTCTCACTTAGTAGCGCGGATCGTGGTGGCCCTTCATCATACGGATCACGTGGAAGTTGAGCGTGGAGCGGTGCTCGGCGGCGCGACGCTTCCTCTTAGCCTCTAGCACGAGCATCATGTGGCGTGCCTCACGTTTGCATTTCGTTTCGTCGAAGTCGTTGCGCTCCAGCGCGTCCAGGAACGAGAGCGTCTCTGGCTGCCCCTCCGTGCTCTCGCGCACGGTGCGCAGTGTCATGCGCTTAATGTGCTCCACGTTAATGCCTCGGCCAAGCTTCATGGCGTCAATTTCGTCTGTGGCTGGCGAGAGGCCACAAAATAAGTCCCAAAATAAAAAGAGACTCTTTTTATCAGCCGCTCTAATAGTTTATGAAATGGAAATACCCATAATTTTGAAAATCAATTGGTCGTCATGTTGCTCACAAGTTCCTTACATAAGCTGTGATGACGGACCCCGTGGAGAAGTCCAAGTCGCCCAATGACCAGAAGAAGTACCGTTTGCTGACGCTGCCCAACGAGCTCCAAGTGCTTCTCATCTCCACGGCCGAGGTGGCGCACGTTGCGGCAGCCGTGGCGCGTGAGAGCGAGAGTATGCACAGCGAAGAAATCAGCCAGAGCGACAGTGATGAGGGCAGCAACTTAAGCGAGAGCGAGGAGGAGGACGAAAGTAGTTTTGACGACAATGAAGAAGAACGCGAGGGTGCACCCAGTCGTCGCGCTGGCGCTTGTCTCACTGTGGGTGTCGGCAGCTTCGCTGAGCCCGAAGCGCTTCCCGGTCTGGCGCATTACTTGGAGCATATGCTGTTCATGGGTAGTGAAAAGTACCCGGACGAGAACGAGTTTGAATCCTTTCTAAGTGCCCACGGTGGATACAGTAATGGAGCTACAGACAACGAGGTGACCAGCTACACATTCGAGGTGGGGCCAGCCCATCTTGAGCCGGCGCTCGACATGTTCGCGCATTTTTTCATCTCTCCGTTGCTGAAGGCTGAGGCTATGGACAGGGAACTGTCAGCCATTGAATCCGAATTTAGCCAGGCGACACAGAACGACCGGATCCGTACGCAGCAGGTTTTGTGCGACGTGTCTCCTGCCACTCACCCGTACCATCGATTCAGCTGGGGCAACAGGAAGAGTCTCCAGGAGCTGCCGGAGCAAATGGGTGTGGACGTACGTCAGCAGATTCTGGGGTTTTACGATAAATACTACTCGTCCAATATAATGAAGCTTGTTGTATGCGGCGAAAACACGCTGGACGAGCTCGAGCAGTGGGTGACCAAGTCGTTTAGCGCCATTCCGAACAAGCACGTGGACGTGCCGTCATTTGCGTCAACAGGGCCACCGTTTGGGGCGCAAGGTGCTGGCGCTCCGTTTCTCTGCAAGATTGTGCCCGTCCGGGATATCCACACGCTTCATCTTGACTGGATGATCCCTCCGGTTCTTGGTCTGCATCACCAAAAGCCGTCGGACTATATTGCTAGTCTTCTCGGCCACGAAAGTGAAGGATCTGTGCTGTCCCATGTAAGCGAAGCAGAGTGGTTAAGCTTAGCTGCTTCTTTTTTTCTTCTCAGATTGATACTTACGCTCGATATTATGTGCGTCGCAGTTAAAACAACGAGGCTGGATCTCCGCGGTGACCGCCGGAGTAACAGACACGGATGGTTACGACTGTGGTAGCTACGCAGCCAAGTTCGATATCACCATGAAGCTTACACTGGAGGGCATTTCTCACTGGGAAGATATTGCCCATGCTGTTTTCGAGTATCTGCATATGCTCCGAGTAAATGGCTGTCCCGAGTGGGTGTTTGATGAGCTGGCGGCGCTGGCAGACATTTCGTTCCGCTTCCAGGAGGAGGACAGTGCAGTCGAAAAATGCGAAGAGCTCGGTGAAATTATGCAGGTGAGGGCATATCACAGCAAAGATATTGTTCTCGTTTATCTTAAACTAAGTATTGGAATACATGCAGTCGATGTTCAGAGTGGCGCCAGACGACATTTTGCGGTACGACCTGCTCAAAGGTGTCTTCAAGAAGGAGCTTACGGAGGAAGTGCTGAGCCATTTGACTGCTGAGTCCGTGTGCGTGTCGATCGTTTCACAAAGATTTGAAGAATCTGCTGAATTCCAGACTCAGGTATGGAACGAGGAGGACTTCTGTAATGTGTTGGGGATTGGGCATTGACTCTTTGTTGCGCTGTGGTAGGTTATCGAGGAGGAGTGGTTTGGTGTCAGATACTCGCGGGAGAATATTGCGGATGCCGTCATTCAACGCTGGAAGAGGGCAGGAACTAACCCGAAACTTCACCTGCCTCGTCCAAACCAGTTCATTCCTCGCGATTTCTCGCTCGTGGACTCGATAGATGCTGAGGATCTTGTGTGTGGTGCGACAAAGTTTGGCAAACTGTGGTACAAGCCGGATCGCGTGTTCGCTACACCTCGCGCTCATGTTGCGCTTTTGTTGCACTTACCCACTGTGGTGGCCAATGTAGACAATTGGGTCCTTACTCAGCTGTACGTGAAGCTTGTGAGGGACGCACTTAATGAGTACGCATACCATGCGAATGTGGCGGAGCTGATGTACTCGCTCCAGGTAAAGGACTCCGGTCTGGAACTAATCTTTGGTGGCTTCAACGATAAGCTTCACATTCTTGTCGAAGTAGTAGTTGCGGCTCTGTTTGGAACGGAAATCAATGAAGCGCGTTTTGAAGTGATGCGAGAGGAATTGATGCGCGAGTCGAAAAACGCGATCACGAAAGTGGCACAAAAAGCAAAATATCTTCGACTGCAACTTCTGGAAAAACGCTCATTTGCTTTGGAGGAATGCTTAGATTCGATCGAGGATGCTACCGAGGAATCACTCAAGAAGTACGTCGCTAACGAGCTTTGGGCGGGGAAGGCGTGGTTGGCGAGTTTTGCACACGGAAATATTTTCCATTCTGTAGCGTCAAAAATGGTGGCCAGTGTTGAAACGCAACTGCAGCGCGTATCTGCACCGCTCGAGTTGCATGACTTTCCCCGACGCCTTATCAACGCCATCCCACAGACCCCAGTGGGTTTTCTACTGAAGGAACGCAGCGAGAACAAGTCGGAGACGAACACACAAGTGGAACTCTACTACCAGATCGGCCCGTTGACTTTACGCAGCCTGGCTTACGCGGACTTGCTGCATCAACTGATGGAAGAACCCCTGTTCGACACTCTGCGCACCAAGCAGGAGCTGGGTTACGATGTTTCTTGCACTGTTCGTGTGACGAACGGCATTTTAGGCTTTGGTGTGATGGTTCAGTCGTCATTGTTCGCAGCGGAGTATATTTCTGCCTGTGTTGACCGCTTCATGATTGACTTTGAAGAAGCGATTGAGATGATGGCGGACGAGCATTTCCACGACCACGTCCAAGCGCAGATCTTGCTGAAGCTCGAGCCCGATCACAACCTTCTAGAGACGACGCACCACTATTGGTATGAGATCACGTCGCGTCGACTAGCTTTCGATTTGGACGCTCAGCTTGCGAAGGAGATGGAGACGCTGACCAAGAGTGAGATGGCGCAGCACTACCGCGAGTGGATTCTACAAAGCCCCAAAAAGCTGATTGTTCAGGTGATCGGCCGTGGCAACCCCGCCGAGAAAATAGCGCAGAAAACCCGCAAGAATGCCACCGAAGCGGAGCTTGCAGAGCTGCGTGCACTTCCTCGACCTATTCGAATCCGCGACTTGTGCCTATTCAAGTCCGAGTTGCCTAGCTATCCTGATCCCATCGACGAGATCAATACGGGCAAAACAAGAGAAGAGGACAAGCGTCAAGAGCTATAGAGCGGCAGATGAAAGCACGGTGCTGTTTGCAGTTCATGTATTGGCCTTTTGCTATTTGCTCAGCAGGGGGGGGGCGTTGGCGTGTCTCTGTGGCTGCTCTGGTTGGCGTATTTTAGTAGCAGCGCGATCAGACATAATATATTCTGTAGACAGTCTTGGCAATCGAAAGTTGACCGTCGTAGAAGGCCGTCTCAATCGTGAGTTTGCCACTGAAAGACAAAGGATCAGTGAGAAAATTGTCATCTTCGTCATCGCAAGCAATCAAATCGTACCTCATCACCTCCGGATTGAGCATATTTTCCGACCCGGCGGATTCGATCGTCTGTTGCCACGTATTAGTTGAACCCGGGATCACATAACCGAAGTTGAAAATCCATTCTGTTAAAGGGCAGTGTGAGTAAATCGTGAGTTTCCGTCACTCCCTTTGGAAGCGTTAGCATTCACCTTCAATGCAGCTTCCTGCTAGGAACACACGCTGCTCCAGTCGAAACTTGGTAATTTCTTCAACTGAGCTGAAGTTAATCTCTCGAGATACAGCAGAGCACTTCAAAATAGCCACCGGAAGACGCGCTGACTCACACGAAATGGAACATTAACTTCAGGACGATAGCATGCCTTCGATAAAAAACACTACATTGTTTGCTACCTTTTTGCTCTACACGGTAGATGTCTTCACCCCTTGTATCCAAAATCAAGACGAGGTTATCACGAAGAGTACATCGTTGACATTTAATTCACTGCTTGGAACGCACCATTCTTCCGATTGCCACATCAGTCGACCCGTATCGGCACAACGCATGTTCATGTGGTTGCTAGTAACAGCATGAGCTGATCAACGATCCTTGCCATACTATTCAAACTGACTCTACTTGTTTTCTTACATGGTAAGACCTTTGCAGACCTTCTTTGCCCAGGAATTGTTGGCAATCTCAATTTTGCCAACCCCAGCACCCTGAAGTTGCTTCCATTCTCTTTCGACCTCAAAGTCCAATTTGGCTTGGGCCGCACGAGATTCGTCGTCCTTAACAGGCTTCCCTTCGTCCTTCAAGCGGCACTTTTCACTCAGCTTCACGTTGCTGATCTTGCATCCGAGCTCTTCCTCGTCAACCTCAAAGCGCTTCGGCTCCATAGGTGGTGATAGATGAGCGAACTGTAGGAGGAGGACCAGTAGTGCCTTTGTCTGGAATAGGAAAACTCCACTAGCGACCGACCCTTTGACGCAATGGACGTGCTGAAACGGTAGCCCTGCGACGTGCTTTACTGTGATACGACTCTTGGCTGTCGTAGACTGCTATTGTCGACGAATTTATGATGCGAGCAAAACGTAGCGAAGGTGGATGGAGGTTGAACGACAACACGCACTGGAAACCTAGCGAACTGACTTTGTTTGGTGTGCCCTTATTGCAGCAATGCTCCCGTACACCAAGGCGGACAAGTCTACGATACTTAATGCAGCCGCGCTGCAGGTAGAGCGGACTATGTCGATTTATAACGATGCCTTCTGCTGACGCTTTAATGATCAGGATCATCTAGCACGATCTATTACACTGGACTTGCACGCTCGTCCGAGAAGACCCCGAAAGCGAACAGTAGGCGTAATCTTTTGCTCACAGGTGTGATAAATTCTGAAGATTGCCATAGCAAATTGAGAGCAGTGGAAGCGTTTCAAAGTCTGGGTATCGATGCGTCTGGGTTTGTGAGACCTGCACGCTCGAGAATGTTGAGCGACCATGTTCAAGTACAAGTGAGCGAGAATCGGATCGATGTTCTGCTTGCGGAACCCAACGTAACCAACAGCTTCGTCCTCGACTAACTCTCGCTCAGAAGCGAGGCCTGGTACGCTTACGTTCGAAACGACGAACTAGAGGATACAATCAATACCTCACCGTACGGCATTTTATACTGATATAGGTCACGCGTCCGTCTCCAAAACTCACTCTTGACGAATGGGAGAATTGTGAGCAGCAAGCGCAAGCTCGCGGTGACATGAAACACCCGTGCTCTATCTGCCGTGAGCCGTTAGGTATAAAAGAGCAAGTGATTTTGAGCTGCTCGCACATATTCCATGTCGATTGTATTACGAGTTTTGAAAGGTAGATTTATATCAAGATCCTATGAGGTGCAGAAATCGCTTATCATTATCGTTTTCATCCAGATTTTTGCGGACGAATCAGCACGTGTGTCCGCTTTGTCGGAAACAGGACTACCAAAAGCGGTGCACTACCATTTCCTCAGCTTTTCATCGCGAGCACAGTGCCAAGCGAATTCAGGTCCGGTGATATTTGAAACGGGTACGCTTTCTAGCACGAAATACTAACCTAGTGCTGAATGCAGGCCGTATTTCGGGGGTTTGCAGTGAGACGGCAAGTAGCAACATTGTGGCAGAAAGTAAGCTAAATATCACTACTATTAATCCTGTGGTTAACCCTTGTTCGCTGTGCTCGTCTTCAGTTTTACAGCTCCGGCAAAGGTGACTCTGTTCGTCGTCGTCGATTTTTCGCGAACAGGTATTAATAATACCGTAATGGAGCACACAATCCATCACACTCGACTTCTTGATCGTTTGCCTTTCGCAGAGTAAGAAGAACAACAGATAGATTGGTGACTGCGATGAGCAAGCGCGACGACTCTGTTGATGTTCTACTTAAAGAGTTCGACAAATCGCTCAGAGTAAGCCGCCACGTGTTCCAAGATTGCTTCCCTGAGACCAAGACTGGTGAATATTGCTGCTGTACAATTGAACTCCTTTGCCATACCACTAACCTGTGTGATCCCATCAACAGGACTTATGTTACCCGAAGGCGACGACTGGCTCGCCACCTTCAAAAAGGTTCGCAGAAATGTCAAACTCAGCTATGTCCTTCATGCTCACCCAACTTATTGTGTGTTTTCATGTACGGTAGGCTAACGCTCGAGACGATCGAGAGTGTGCCATTTGTATCAACGGGTTCAGGTACAAATTGCAATTGCCAGCTTTGAAAACGTCAATTTCTCATTAAAATGTTATTTAGCTCATCAATGGAGGGTGTGTTGCTCCTCAGTTGTTCGCATGCCTTCCACTCGCAATGTCTTTCTGCATTCGAAGACTTCAGTATCTATGAGGTGTCGTTGTGCCCAGTCTGTCGCGCTAGCTATCGCTCGCATACATGGCTACATCTCGCACACCTCAAACAACGTCAAAGGTGCTTACGAACCTAAAAACGAATTGCGATTTAAGCACACAATTAAAAAGATTACCGTTTCTTCTTGTAAACGGGACGATTGAGGGGTCGTACTTATTGAATTTATTAACACTAAAGCTGAAGCGGATTTGGAAAGCGTCACCGAATTTGCTATGTCGATCCATTCCGTCAATATGATACCATATGTCCCTGCAAGGTATGTATACTTTCTTAAGACTTAGAGACTTAGAAGCCTTTACTTCGTATAATTACGGATCAAGCAGTTAAAAAAATACTTCAAGTACTGTAGATTAATAAAAACATACACAGAAAGCACTTGAAAGTGATGCACTCAAATATTGTCAAAAGTATGTTTGGGTCTTGTATTTGGCGACGAAAAAATTCTTTTGAAAACAAAAAGTACGAAAAAATGGGAAAATGCTCTAAAACCATGGAAAAAAATTCTCTAAAATAAAAAAATGCCGTGTAAAAATGCCACAATTGTGTTTGTGCTCTGTATTCTTTGGTACTACATGAGTTGTCGCTGTGCGACCTAAAAAAGACTTGTATCCACCGTTATGGTACCAGACAGTGTGAGTCCGGTATTAAAACGCTCTATTTCCGGTATTCTTTTTACGACAGTTGCACTGAGTTTCCTGTCACATCCGACCATACACCGAGCCATCCAGCGTAAATTTGTTAATGCTCAACGATCACTTTCTCCTAGGTTGTCTCAAATGAAACGTCACTCGCGACTTAAGCACAGTGTCGCGGCAATCCTCCTAAGGTCGGGGTCATGTATCTAGCAGGCCGACGTAGGAACTTAGGACAATCACGTAAATGTAAAGCTACTGTTATATTCTTGAGCACTTCTCTTGTAAGAAGGAAAACCACGATTGAGCTTCTACCTAAAGCTCCGAACTGAGCGCTAAGCTCCTTACCTTTTCGTAAACCACTACCACGTGGAGATCCAACGTAAATTCCTACCTTTTTCGACGGCCAGTCTTTCCACTCTAAGCCTGGAACGCTGTCGATTGTGTCGGAGGGTACAGTTGCCTGGACGTGGCCTGCGACTTCTGCAGCAAGCAGATCTTCCGGACGCAGGCCGAGAGAATGGCAAGTCCACCTTATAGCTGTGTACCGTGACAATTCTCCCCGACTACCACTCGGTGTTCTCGCCGAGCCTCCTTGCCCGACACGGGTTCCACGGTACCGTTAGCCACATCAGCTGGAACGCCCTTCGGAGGCGTTCCAATCGGAGCAGGACTCGCGTTCTCGACCAAGGAAGGCGTCCCTTTACTCTTGATTCTTCGCAATCGTTCCACGCTGACACGCTCGCGCTCTTCGCGTCGCCCAACTCGCCCAGCGAGCCCTTCCCAGCCTTGCTTATCCCTCACGCTTGGTCCTCGTTCTTTATCAATACGAAGCCGCCAGTAGCTGTGAACCAAATGACTGTAACAGCCGGCCATCAGCAGAGAGGCGTTCCAATAGCAACAACACGTAGAGAACTCCATGAAAAGTCCACGATCAGCACTACCATAGCCACGCCCATCCAGCCATGGAGCACCCCTTCGGTACTTCATACACCAGCCGCGGTACGTAGATCAGGATAGACAGCAGCAGCGTCGTCAATAGATATCCACATACGACGATGTCACCCACTCTGTCAGCAACAGCAGCGGTAGCCTCCCTCGTAGCAGCCCGGTAGCCGTCCACAGTAGCCGCACCGCCCCAGGCAAGAATAGACACCAGGAATGATGGAACGCCTCGCGCCACTGCAAGCAGAGACGCCCCGCAATCCCAAAGCGTACCTCTTAGTCCCTTAGCACAGCCATCGGTATCGAGAAAGCCAGAGTCAACAGGGAGGTCGCGAGCTCCGAGGAAGGCAAGGCGAGAGCGTGCGCATCGCGGGCAGCTCCAACGAACCGATCACCACACGTGTTAAAGAAGACGTAGACCACTTGAACGTTACGCCCTAGGCCCGCTGAGAACGCCCACGAGACGCTCCGCAACGACGTGGTTACCACCCACATCATGATGCCAATTACAGCACTGCCCACAAGCCTTAGCTCGACGCCATCTTCAGTCTTCGCTAACGGAGTCGTCACCTCCAGTCATGCAGCCGAATTATTCATCAGTCCTGACGATCTTCAAGTGGCAACCCCCCATTCTCTGAAAGGTCGACCGTTCCTTCCTGAGCCACTTTCCATCAGACCGTTCCTTCTCGACGCTACTTCCCAGGGACGCAGCCCGTACGTACTCCGGAGTCAGCCATTAAGCTGAAACTTCACCCCTGTAGCCTCTCACTTCCCAATCTCCTTTCTAGACAGCACATCGCTTTGTCCGTCATCTCGCTTCCTCGCCATGTCGTCTCAGTTTACCTCCACTGAGCGGAAGAAGGCCCGTCAGTTTCTCGACGCGGCCCTAGAACAGGACGAGCTTGGCACGCTCGGTAGTGACGCTCGGGCTCTCAACGAGGCGTTCCTCAGCGACTTGATCGCGCGTCTCGGTGGTAGCCCGCAGTCGTCGGAGCATCTACAGCAGTTGGCACAGGACTTCCTCGACGGAGATGCGACGGCCACTCTCCGGGGTCCCGAGGTGATCCTCCCTTCTTCTCCGAGCTCGCAGACCTTCAGCAATGATTTAGCTTCGCTCAAGCTCAAGAAGCACTCCAAGTGCAAGGCGAGCGAGGATTCGGCCACGAGATCGCCGGCCAAGAAGAGGCGTTTCTCCGGTAAGGGCAAGAAGACGGCGCGCATTCCCGCTGAAAACTTCAGCGACCCCCTCGAGTTGAGCGCAAAAGCTCCCGCCCCCGTACGCAAGACGATCCTAGCCGTTCTGACCAAGGCAGCCGATGAAGGCAAGAAACCGTGGTGTCAGGCGTTCTCAACGTCGGGTCGAACACTTTTCTACGACCCCAATAAATACTGGCACGTGCTTCGATCCAACTGGCGGTCCTGGATGGCGAATCGCCGCGCCTTGTGGGGGTGAGCGTTACATGCCCCCACTCGAGCCCGGAATGGCCCAATCGAATCGCCGTAAGCTCAAGATGCGTGCCATCCAAGCTCGGTTCGCATTCACAAGCACTTGCATCGAAACTTGGGGCTTGTACACCTTTATGGAGAAGCTGGAGAAGCATCCCGAGATGTTCTGGTTAGGAGGGCAACCCGGTCGCTTTTCCCGTGAAGCTCGCAAGCACGATCGACCTGGCGCCTACGACCTGGCCGTTCTTCGCGAGAAGAGCCAGAAAAGGTACGACGCTACTCTCGAGAACGCCTTGGATCCCGACAAGGTGGACGGACGCCTACGGATACTCAAGTTTGCGAGTCTTCCTGGAGTCCACCGAAGCGTTGAGCCCGGCAGCTGACGAGAAGAACAGGCTTTCGATCGCGGCGTTTGCTCGCATCCGCAAGGACATCATGTCCAGCGTCCGGCCCAGGATACTTGGGTCGGAGATCGAGCGGCTGACCCATCGAAGGCGATCGTGAACAGCTACAAGGCCAATCAGGTCCACGATCTGATAACGGCCTAAATCACCGAGGGTTCTTACGAACTACCTCGTGCGAGCGCGCTGACTCGAGTGGCGATCGAGCGCGAAAGACTGGTCTGTCTCGAGGACGGCGAGGAAGACGGCGATAAAGTGAATCCTCCAGTCTCCGCGGACGACAAGAAGGCTCCAGAAGAAGAGATCGATGATCTGGAAGACGAAGAAGAAGAGGAGGAGGAAGTCTCGGGCGATGACGATGCTGAAGACGACGAGGACTATGACGACGATAAGGCCTCCAGCAAGTAGCCCTGCGGCGTTTCGATTCGCGCCTTTCGTGCCGTTCCCTCTTTAATACTTTATATTGCGTTCCTTCTTTAATTTCGTACCCATACTCCATGTACATCCCTCGCCACATCACCTTAGCTCCTCTCCCATTCTCACACGCCTCTCTTCACCCCCTCTTTATTACAAATAGCGTTTCATCTCCTTGCGACGTAAAGTAGGGCGCTCTTGTTTAGACCCTTCTTCTTCCTTCGCTCGTTACCCGTCGTTCCATTGGCGTCTCGAGCCGTTCCACCACCGAATCTCACCGTTCTCCCCCCTATAACGCAGAGTCGTTCCACCCTTCATATTCCCCATACCCAGGTCGAAACAACTTATAAAAAAATTAAAAATGTAAAAAGCTAACACGTCACGCGGTGCGCAATGACCTCGCAAGTCCCTCGCACTCTCTCCCTCTCTCGTGCAGTCCCAGACCACACTTACTCCAACAGGACTCCGTTAGAACAGTATCTCGGCTTATTCTACGTCAGCGTTGGCTTCTACCACCCTGGCGTTCCGACGTAATTCCGGCAGACCCCGTCTGGTGCAGTCTGCGTCCTCAAAAGAGCAAATCAGCGTCCCAATTTCGGATAACAGTGACGCTCGAGCCAGCCCGATCGTCTCGTATGTGACCGTGAGCCCTAAATACTGAACCTCGCGGTTCTCAACGCGTTTGGCTAGCATATTCTCGGAAGACGACGATACTCCCGAGAAGGCAGTTTCCTCTCCACCCACATTCAAGCGTTAAACAAAGCTTGTGGGAGGGAAGCCTCCTTCTTGCGGCGGACCCGTTCCATCCTCGGAGGCGTTCTCTTCAGCTTCCTCGGGTCTCTCATCTGCGAATGGCCGACCCCAACGACCACGGAAGCACTTCAGGCAATTCACATTCACTGTGACGGTCCTGTTGGGGTGCGTGGGAATCGCAATCTTGTAGGCGCTCTCACCGGCATGCCGACGACCGAA